AATTAGTATTAAAATTAGTGATACACACACACACACACACACACACACACAACATTGAATGGAAAGAAAAATGAATGTTAAACTCAGGTCTAACATTTCTAGCTGCCTTTTTGATAGAATATTAGATAGAGGTAGATGTCTAATATTAGTGGTCAAGCTATTCTAGCAAGAGCCTTAGGTGTATTGTCAAGTTTTTACTTTTGAAGCCATGCTGAAGTGGCTTCACAAACAGAGGAAAATCTTTCAAAAAGCCAGCCAGAAGACCTGTGGTGCTGATGGGAGAGTTTCAAATGCAGCTGCCTACTATGTATTTAATAAAATCACTTTTTACTTATTAATTAAAAAAATGAAGAGTGAAGTATCTGTTCAGACCACTGTAAGGGACACCATTGCTTAAGCACTACAGCTCATGCATTTGTTTTAGCAGAAAAGTGGAAGTAAGTTTGTTCATTTCCTATGCTTATTTCACACAAGCTGAACCATGGTTGCTCATCCGGCTGAAGACTAGTCTAAATAAGACTGTAGGGTACCACGGCGGCGAATGTCACATGTCCAGCAATGGAAACCACCTCCCAAGGAATTGGCATGGCGAATATTCACTTTAATTGTAGAAATGCCTGTAAGTGAAAAATATCCATTGGAGAACATAAGAAGAAAAGAAAAAAGATTGACGTTAGGCACTGGTTAGAATTTTAAACAATGCTCAGAGGTCGCACACGGCTGCATGTGTCTCGTACAAAATATTTCAGACCCATTTGTAAAGAATTCCTCTGCTCAGTACTGACTCAACTTCTAGCCAAAGTATAGAAAGCTAGGAACATAGTCTGTTTATTCCAGCCACACCCTCAGGCATATACAGTGCTGGGAACCGAGACATTGTGTGATATGTGTTATAATGTCCTGGTCAAAAAACAAAAAAAATCAACCTTTGTTGTAGGAATGTGAAGAATCAGAAAAGCCAGTACACATTTAGGGCTGTTTTCTACAGGTGTCTCAGCATGAGCAATTGGAGTTTAGTAGATACAGAATATGCTCTTTTAAAATAGTGACTTCCTAAAAATCTGATATTCAAAATGTGCTCAGAGCTTACAACACATTTCCTTGGTCCACTGTAAGAGAAAGAGGCAGTTAAACTCATTTCCTGGGAACAAGTCGAGCTTCATTTCATCCCTCATGTCTGAGCTATGGTTCTGCTCACACAAAACACCAAAAGGCAGACTGAGATCAGAGCACAGAAAACTTCTACAGTGTGCATTCTCACACCAGGGATTTCATTAGCTCATGAGTTTGCAGCACTCCGGAGTACTGGCTGCTCAGAAGAGCCGGTTAGGTTGGGTTTTTTCACTGCACCACTATAAATTAACTGATAGCGAGTTTGTGAACTGGAAATTATTTGTTCTGAGTCCAGCAACTCAGTCAGTGAAGCTCAAGTCTGAAGGATGTATCATTGTTACGTCACTGATCTACTAGAGAACATACTCATTTAAAGTGGCGCGATGTTTGCTTATAATGTTGTTTGACCATGGGGGCTTGGAATCAGGGTGGGCCAGCAGTCCCCCTATCAGCTCCCCTTCACCCTCACCCAGTGCCTCCTGCCCGCCGGTGGCCCCATGGATCAGCAACTCCCCCCTACCTCCCTGCGCCTCCCGCCTGCAGAAATCAGCTGTTTCCTGATTCTCATACTGAGTCCTACTCATATGATCTTTGCTAGCATAATTTCATAGAATCATAGAAACACAGGGCTGGAAGGAAACCTGAGAGGTCAGCAAATCCAGCCTCCTTCACCGAGGCAGGACCAAGCAAATCTAGACGATGCCTGATAGTTGCATGTCCAACCTGTTCTTTAAAACAATGATGGGGATTCTGCAACCACCTTTGCAAGCCTATTCCAGGTTTAGCTACCCTTATAGTTAGAAAGTTTTTCCTAAAAACTGACCTAAATTATCCTTGCTGTAGATTAAGCCCATTACTTCTTGTCCTACCTTCAGTGGACATGGAGAACAATTGATCCTTGTCCTCTTTATAACAGCCCTTAACATATCTGAAGACTTATCAGGTCCCCCTTCAGTCGTTTTTTCCCCAAGACTAAATGTGCCTAATTTTTTAAAACTTTTTCTCACAGGTTTTCTAAGCCTTTTATCATGTTTGTTGCTCTCCTCTGGACTCTCCAGTTGTAGTGGGGTCAGAATTCACTGATCAAATTGAAGCCTTATTTTCCAGCCTGTTTAACAGAAATTAAACAAAAATACAACATACTGAGAGATGAAAAGACACCCTGACAGCTTAAGTCAATATGCTGTAGTTTTGTCACACTTAAGAAACCGTGAATGCTACTACTACTGCAAGTGCTTTGGGGGAATAGGATTAAAATTTAAAATGATCTGGACAAACTGGAGAAATGGTCTGAAGTAAATAAGATGAAATTCAAGGACAAATGCAAAGTACTCTTCTTAGGAAGGAATAATCAGTTGCACACATACAAAATGGGAAATGACTGCCTAGGAAGGAGTACTGCAGAAAGGGTCTGTGGGGTCATAGTGGACCACAAGCTATGGGTCAACAGTGTAACATTGAGTCAACAATATGAGTCAACAGTGTAACATTGTTGCAAAAAAAGCAAACATCATTCTTGGATGTATTAGCAGCAGTGTTGTAAGCAAGATATGAGAAATAATTCTTCCGCTCTACTCTGTGCTGATTAGGCCTCAACTGGAGTATTGTGTCCAGTTCTTGGCGCCACATTTCAGGAAAGATGTGAACACCCTGGAGAAAGTCCAGAGAACAACAATAAAAAAATATTAAAAGTCTATAAAATATGACCTATGAGGGAAGATTAAACAAACCCAATTTTTTTCAGTCTGGAGAAGAGAAGACAGAGGGGATATGATAACAATTTTCAAGTACATAAAAGGTTTTTACAAGGAGGAGGGAGAAAATTGTTCTCTAACCTCTGAGGATAGGACAAGAAGCAATGGGCTTGAATTTCAGCAAGGGCGGTTTAGCTTGGACATTAGGAAAAACTTCCTGACTGTCAGGGTGGTTAACCACTGGAATAAACTGCCTAGGGAGGTTGTGGAATCTCCATTGTTGGGGATTTTTAAGAGCAGGTTAGACAAACACCTGTCAGGGATTGTCTAGACAATACTTAGTCCTGCCATGAGTGCAGGGGACTGGACTAGATGACCTCTCGAGGTCCCTTCCAGTCCTTTGATTCCATGATTAGTTGCCAGCCATCTTCTCACAAGTATAGAATGTGTCTCCAGTGCTTATTGCTAAGATTTAAGTTTCTGCATACCCTTTTTCTATCGTGACTGAAGTACTTGGATTCATTGAATCCATCTCTTCTCTGGCAGCAAATTTTCACAGGCTGTTCCCCATCCCCTTCCTAATAAGCTGTATGCAATAAAATTCCTTTTAGGTAATTAGTTTGAGTTCTCTTCTCTTCCACGTGCCAGTAGTTGGAGGAATGAACTTTGCTCTGCTACAGAGTTATTCCCAGAAACTGTCACTCCTGTGACAGCTAAGGGAGCTGAAATACCTTTGACAAGTATTCTCAGCTTGTCTGAAAAGAATTCAAAGTATACAGAATGTTTCAAACTGAAACTTTAAAATTTTTAATGGAGTTTGGCTAGAAAGGATAAATAAGGCTATCGAAATACATTAATGTCAGTTGTGTGCTCATGTTTTTTACAAAAATCTCTTTAACCATATTCATGTAAGTGGTGTACCATAAGTAATTAAATGACCAGTTCTCACTCGTGAATTCAGCAGTTAAGAGAGTTCTTTCATTTAAAAGGTACAGTGCTATCTATACTGCCTGTTAAGAGTGCAGCCTTCATTCATAGGTACAAACATAACTGACATCTTAAGATAATCCATTTCAACCTTAGTGTGTAAACAAAATCAGGACATACCTAGATTTTCAAACATCTTCTGAATTGGA